TGCATCGAGTGGCCACCGGGCATTTAGGGAATCTACAGAAGACGAGAATCCATATACACCACCACCAGAAGATCAGGCATAAAATGTATCTTTGCATTCTTTACATTCTAAGTTAAGAGACTTGTGGGAGAAGACGAGACTTAAATCGAATTCCCGGATTGGGAGTTAGAGCTGGATTTAGCATGAAACGTGGCACACACGACCGCCAAGGCACGAAAGACTTGTGAGAGAAGACGGGACTCGAATCGAGTTCCCGGATTGGGAGCTAGAGCCGGATTTCACTTTAGGCAAACTAGTTCCTTAAGAAACTTGAATTCGAGGTGTTAACGCCCCAAAATCACCATACGGCGTCGGTTTAGCACGAAACTTGGCACACACGACCGCCTAGGCACGAGAGATTTGTGGGAGAAGACGGGACTCGAATCGGGTACCCTGATTGGGAGTTAGAGCTGGATTTCACTTTAAGCAAACTAGTTCTTTAAGAAACTTGAATTCGAGGTGTTAACGTCCCAAAATACCAAACGGCGTCGGTTTAGCACAAAACTTGGCACACACGACCGCCTAAGCAGGAGAGACTTGTGGGAGAAGACGGGACTCGAATCGGGTTCTCGGATTAGGAGTTAGAGTCGGATTTCACTTTAGGCAAATTAGTTCCTTAAGAAACTTGAATTCGAGGTGTTAATGCCCCAAAATCACCAAACGGCGTCGGTTTAGCATGAAACTTGGCACACACGACCGCCTAGGCACGAGAGACTTGTGGGAGAAGACAAGACTCGAATTGGGTTCCCGGATTGGGAGTTAGAGCCGGATTTCACTTCAGGCAAACTAGTTCCTTAAGAAACTTAAATTCGAGGTATTAGCGCCCCAAAATCACCAAACGGCATCGGTTTAGCACGAAACTTGGCACACACAACCGGCTAGGCACAAGAGACTTGTGGGAGAAGACGGGGCTCGAATCGGGTTCCCGGTTTGGGAGTTAGAGTCGGATTTCGGTCTAGGCAAACTAGTTCCTTAAGAAACTTGAATTCGAGGTGTTGACGCCCCAAAATCACCAAACGGCGTTGGTTTAGCACGAAACATGGCACACATGACCGCCTAGGCACGAGAGACTTGTGGGAGAAGACAGGACTCGAATCGGGTTCCCGGATTGGGAGTTAGAGCTAGATTTCACTTTAGGCAAACTAGTTCCTTAAGAAACTTGGATTCGAGGTGTTGACGCCCCAAAATTACCAAAAAACGTCGGTTTAGCACAAAACTTGGCACACATGACCGCCTAGGCACGAGAGACTTGTGGGAGAAGACGGGACTCGAATCGGGTTTCCGAATTGGGAGTTAGAGCCGGATTTCACTTTAGGCAAACTAGTTCTTTAAGAAACTTGAATTCGAGGTGTTAACTCCCAAAATCACCAAACGGCGTCGGTTTAGTACAGAATTTGGCACACACGACCGCCTACGCATGAAAGACTTGTGCGAGAAGACGGGGCTCGAATCGAGTTCCCAGTTTAGAAGTTAGAGTCGGATTTCGGTCTAGGCAAACTAGTTCCTTAAGAAACTTGAATTCGAGATGTTGACACCCTAAAATCACCAAACGGCGTTGGTTTAGCACAAAACTTGGCACACACGACCACCTAGGCACGAGAGACTTGTGGAAGAAGACGGGACTCCAATCGGGTTCCCGGTTTGGGAGTTAGAGCTGGATTTCGGTCTAGGCAAACTAGTTCCTTAAGAAACATGAATTCGAGGTGTTGACGCCTCAAAATCACCAAACAGCGTCGGTTTATCATGAAACTTGGCACACACGACGGCCTAGGCACGAGAGAGTTGTGGGAGAAGACGAGACTCCAATCGGGTTCCTGGATTGGGAGTTAGAGCCGGATTTCACTTTAGGCAAACTAGTTTCTTAAGAAACTTGAATACGAGGTGTTAACACCCCAAAATCACCAAACAACGTCAGTTTAGCATGAAACTTGGCACATGTGACCGCCTAGGCACGAGAGACTTGTGGAAGAAAACGAGGCTCGAATCAGGTTCCCGGTTTGGGAGTTAGAGTCGGATTTCGGTCTAGGCAAACTAGTTCCTTAAGAAACTTGAATTCGAGGTGTTGATGTCGCAAAATCACCAAACGGCGTCGGTTTAGCACGAAACTTGGCACACGCGACCGCCTAGGAACAAGAGACTTGTGGGAGAAGACGAGACTCCAATCGAGTTCCCGGTTTGGAAGTTAGAGCCGGATTTTGGTCTAGGCAAACTAGTTCCTTAAGAAACTTGAATTCGAGGTGTTAATGCCCCAAAATCACCAAACGGCGTCGGTTTAACACGAAACTTGGCACACACGACCGCCTAGGCACGGGAGACTTGTGGGAGAAGACGGGACTCCAATCGGGTTTCCGATTTGAGAGTTAGGGCCGGATTTCTGTCTAGCCAAAATTATTTACTAAACTATCTTTGTAATTATATAGTAGTTAATTTTTTATGTTTTTCTGTAATTAAAATATTAACACCATTATATTGTCATTAATTATTTTTATTTTGTTATTTTCAGATATTTCTTGAGTAGCAGTTTGCTTCTTGTGGAATGCGGGCGTGTAAAGATTATGACCAACTTTTGTTTTTATAACCCACGGAAAAATCATGACGAAAACTTTTGATTTTGATTTACGTTATTTAGATTTGTGAACGACATTATGTATGTATTATGCAACATTATGTAGTGGGATAATTTTTATTGTTATGAATTTTTATTTATGTATTGTTATGAATGGAAAAATATTATGAATTTTCATTATGTGCCAACTTTTGTTTATGTATGTATTTATATTATTATGTAAATATCGATTTTTTTTTTAGTTATTTTTCATTTAATACAGGTTATTTTCATATTTTTAATAATTTTAATATATTTTTTTTTTTTTTTTTTTTTTTTTGAGATGGCACCACACCGTCTCAAAAAGAAAATTGAACTAGGGTTTTTTGCAACGGCAGTAATGCTGTCGCAAAAGATAGGAGAATTGGTTGAAAAAGAAGGCCTTTAGTGACGGTGTTATTGTCATCACCAATAGTCCTTTAGCGACGGCATCAGGTGCTGTCTCAAATAACCCTTTAGAGACGGTATTTTTGCCATCGCAAAAAACCCTTTTAGCGACGGCAACACAGTGCCACCTCAAAAAAACTTAGATTTTCACGCGTTATTTGCGATAGAATTTTTCCTTCACAAAAAGGCATTTTGCAATCGCAAAAAAAAGGCGACAGCGCTATGCCGTCGCTAAAACCCTTTTGCAACCCCCTTTGTTTCGACCCCCCACTTGCCGTTGCAAAAAGCCACTTATCGTCACAAAAAACCTTTTGAAACGACGTCTTGGATATTTGCGACGGCATTTTGCCGTCGCAAAAAAGTAATTTTTTTGTAGTGTAATCAAAATCTTAAAATTGAAAATTAGACCGATTTAAACGGTTCCAAATTGAATCGATTTATTGGTTCATCGAATTTTTTATACATCCCGATATTCTACCGAACTTCCATTTTACCTATGCTTCAACTCATGCTAGAACATAATGGCTCTGAAGACACTCACCTACATGCATATACATTTTATCAGTGTCAGAAGAGCGACAATAATGAGATTCTGATCTTCCGAATTCAAGGAAAAGAAAGGGGGTAATGTTAAGGCGGAGCAAAATGGGTACAAAAACACATCCCATCCAGAATTGTTTTGCTTTTTCTTTTCGACAAATTACACTTTGCACCTTTAAATATTAGTGAGTTTTCATTTTGACCTTTTAGAAAAAAAATTCCAAAAAAAAAAATTCCCCTAATTTGATTTTCAAAAGTATCTAATTCCCAACATTTTAATCAAATTACTAAAAAGATAAATTTCACTTTGCATCCTTACACTTGCAGGCCACTTGATCTTTTAATTGTTTCAATCAATTCTAAGTTTCGAGTTAAATTGCAATTGGACCAATTTGCATAAAAAAGGCATGATTGTAGTAATTACACTTAAAACTCTTGTATTTTTATTAAAATTTAGTCATCCCATTTTAGTCCTTAACATCTATGTACTTTTATAGTCCCTTCACTTTAGTCCCTACATTAATTTTCAAAAAGACATTTACTTGACTTGAAATCTGTAGGGTTGACTAGGACAATTAAAAATCAATTTGCCCTTAGTTGAAAAGCATCACATTGGCAATCATATGGCATTGTTGGGATCAAAATAGTTAAAAGCATATTATTTTCGCTCAATTCTTATTTGAATTATTCAACAAAAAGTTTTGATTTGTACTTGATATGTGAACCATAAATTTTCATTCGACAATTCATATTTATATTGTTAGTAAGACTGCAAATGAACCATGAACAGCTCATACTCAGCACGCTTAAAGCTCGTTTGACCTCAGTTTGTTTACTAAATGAACAACCTCAAGCTTGATTTTTAGGCTCGTTTATATATTTGAGTTGGCTTGAGTTGAGTTCGAATTCTTCAAATACTTGACGAGCCGAGTTTGATTAATTAAGCTTAACTTGAGCTTGAACTCGACTAATTCTTAGTAAATAAGGTTGAACACTCAAAAGTATGGTTCAACTCATTTGTAACCCTAGTAGTTAGTTGATATTGAACCACAAGTCAAAAATGATATGTGGAAATAGAATATCTCTTGACAACAAATATATAGATTGACAAATTACGCTCAGCCGGTGAGAAACTACAACATATATTAAGTGAGTCAACTTTTTTCTTCTAACTACTTATCAAATGTGAGTTAGTATGTGTTACCGATAAATGCTTTTGGTAGGTGATCGGTGTGGAGCACCATGTAGACAATGTCACATAATGCTCCGGCACCATCAAATAATTTTTTAAAATTTTTTTGTAAGGCAAAATAATTATGTGTTCCCTTACTACAAGGTGGAACACACAGCCACATGATAGGTCAGACCTACCAAGAACTTGTCACCAAACCAAACCACCTTTGTCGTTAGGGTTGCATAAGAAATCCTATGCTTTCAAAATTCAAATGACATGATTTGTTTTTTTTCTTCACCTGAATTTAAAAATTTTGAATCCATAGCATTGGACAGGATACAACATAAGCTTTCAATTAAATGTTTTACGTCATTGACAAACTGGTTAAGTTGGAGAATCTTGATGGATTTTCAGAAAAAATATCCTCTAAAATCAAGAGAATTTCACAAGTCGTTGTACCAGAAGGGCGGGGATTAGGAGCCCTTGAAAATGGCAGTAGTCATTCAGAGAAAACAAATTATCAATGATGACGACAGAAATGCTGCTGCAAAGGCAATAATTGAGTTTCGCTTGCTTATTAATCCAGTTCCAGTTCCAGGTGGCGACGAAGAAGTGCTTGGACTTGTGCTCTGCTCATGCTTTCCAAGGTCAGTCATGATCTCAAATCGGCAATTGTGCGGGGATGGATCTATAGCTGTGATGGTTGATAAATTAGAGAATTGACATGATCCTTTCTGTTGATTCATGGTCTGATAGTACATGTTAAAAGCGTATGAAGCATTGCCCCTAACATCTAGCCCAGCGCAAGAGGATCCATATCCAAGACTGGTGCAATCTGCATAAGTGCAAGCGTAATTGATGCTACTTAACAAATTGGGATCCGAAACACTTGCTTCTGGAGCCATTATACACCACTGCCTTGCCAAATATCGGACACCCTTGGCTGCTACCAGAGTTCGATTATTACGACTGCCACCAGAAGCTAAATCCAGAGCCAGAGGGTATTTCAGGGTTCCATCGTAGTAGAACATACCCCAGTGCCGCTCGAAATTCCCAGGATCGATGCTCTTGGCATCTTCGTCGATGAGTGCAAATAAATAGATGTCAGGCGGGGATTTCCGTTTGGGAGTGCCTTGGCCTTGAATTATCCTGTTGATCAAACCTTGATTGAACTTGCGAGCGTTGTCGTTGTTGGCATTGAGGTTGCCGTCAGTTGGCCATCCGACCTCGCCAACAATGATGGGCATGGATGCAAAACCATTTTTTTCAAGAGCCCAAATAAGGGTGTCGAAGTTGGCTTCGAAGACGTTGGTGTAAGATATAGGGCCGTCAACAACAGGGGAAGAAGTGCCAGAGAAGAAGGCGAATTCAACTGGGAAATGGGGGTCGTCATAGAGGCTGAGGAATGGGTAGATGTTAATGGTTAGGGGGGCAGCGTTGTTGCTTAGGAATTTGACAATGGAGATCATGAGACCACGGATGTCAGATCGAAAGTCACCCCCAGAGGGTAGGCCACTCTGTGTCTGGTAGACATCTGCATTTAGAGGGACGGTAACCTTCACCTGTCGGCCTAACCCAGCTTTGATCAACGCAGCTTGAATATTTTCAAGTGCTGGAAATGTTGTTTTCAGGTATGTGCCGTTATACGTCTTCAGGAAAGGTTCGTTGCCAACAGCTACATACCTGAAAAATTCAAATTCAGTTCCCATGCATTTATTTTATTTTTATTTTTAATTAGCATGCTTCAACTTCAACTTCAACTTCTTATTGTTCAATCATGTTCTTAATTGTTGTATAGACAGAAAAATCGGAAGGATATCATATGCCTGGTGGTCAGGTCTTCTCTTCTCTTCTCTTTTCTTCTCTAGATTTTGTTGGCAACTAACTACTAGTTTTTGCTAACCGGTTGGCATGTGACTAATAATAAATAGCAGCCTAAGGATCAAATTATGTCCCCAAAATTTATATTTCATATACTCTCATACATTTTTATATATTTGTACATAATTACATATTTCAACACACTTTAACACAATGAACAATCATTTCTAAGAAAGAAAAACTATCTGATACTTGTTAAAATTTAAAAAAAAAATTAATATCAAGTATTTAGAAAATATCAAATATGTATGTATCTACTAGTATTAGAGGAATATCATATTTGATATGAGCAGGAAAGGAAAGATACCAGAAAATGATGGAGTGAGAAGAAAGGACTAACCTTATATCTACACCATATTTGGAAATAAAGGAGGAAACATTTTGGGAGACCCAATCCTCAGCGACTCCAACGCCGCTAGCAAGGGGTGCTAAGAAGTCATTGGGTATCCCGAGCATAACCTGGATACCGGAATTCCCAAGAGCCTTCATGACCCCAGGATCAGCTTCAAAGAGCTTCACTTTGTCAAAGCCGTTGTCCTTCATTAACTTGACCACTATGTTAGGTGGGAGTGGATGTGTTGCGCGCAACCCCCAGTTGCATGCCAGCCCCCCTGCCTCCACCACGGCTAAACCACCACCACCACCACCACCACCACCTCGATGATGATCACCAAGTAGTAGTACTACAACTAGTGGTACGTATAGAAATATGAACCTCCTGATGATGAACGCCAGCTGGTACCGGAGGTAGCTGAAATACATGGATGATGGATATTGGTCTTGTATGTGTGTATGTTTCCCTAGCTAGCTAATTGCTTTTCAATTGAAATCAAAAGCAGTTTGAAATTGAATATTTAAGGTGGAACTTAAGAGATCTAAATGTCCTTTTATGAAAGGAAAGGAAAGGAAAGGAAATGAATTACACCAAGATTCAACAAGGAAGGAACTGGATTCCAGGGGTAACCCCCAAGAACCAATTTAGTACTAGTACATTTTACATTTTACATTATATATATATATATATATATATATTTATATAATAGAGAGAGGACAAGGAGGGAATCGAGTGAACTTGTTGGCCATTATTTCATTGACAAGGAAGGAACGCACCTTTTCAAAGGATCCTTCTCTAGGCCACAAAGTTGTTTGTACAGTTCTTGGAAAATTGATTTCTGTTTATTCGTCAAAAAGTTTACATTAGAAACTTTTGTAATCAACTTTTAAGTTTTCATGCTTAATATTAGTTTAAACAATTATTATCTTATTATTATTGATTACAGCTAGAAAAATTTTCAAGTTGTAATTAATAACAGTTTTTGTGTGATATCGAATTTAAGAGGTGACCCATATTTTTTTTCCCCTAGTACAGTGTGTCACAATACAATCTAATTATTTAGGAAAATACTATGGTATATACACTTTATGACTAAAAAAATAATATTACATAATTTCATACTTTTTGAGTCATAACTATAAAAAAAATGTCATAACGAAAAAAATATATATATATATCATAACTAAACACAACATAAAGCATAACTAAATAAACTCATGAGTCATAATTAAAATAATGTCATAATTAAAGAAAAACATTTGTCATAACTAGAGAAAAAATGACATAATTAAAAATACATATGATATACCATTTAAAAAAAAAAAAAAGTGGATATTAGAATTTCTCAATTATCTAATACAAAAATAGATTATGTTCAAATAAGGCAGTTATGGGGGGCTTTTCCCATATTGAGCCTATTTTGTATCTTAATTCCCAAACTAGGCCTAGTTTGGACGGAATTCTCAAACTAGGCTAAAGCGCTATTACAAATCGCGCTTTCACTATTTGGAGCCCAAAATGTGATGAATAGTGAAAGCGCTATTACAAACCACGCTTTTAATTAAGAAAGCGTGATTGCAAATCACGTTTTTAACATAAAATTTTTTTCTGAAGCCACGCTTTCACTGTGCATCTCGTTTAATTCGTTTTCTGAAGAAAGCGTGGTTTGTGCATATAAATTTTTTTTTTCCTGAAGAAAACGTGATTGTTATTCACGCTTTTACTGTTCAGCTAAAGAAGCGTGGATTGTAACCACGCTTTCACTATTCACTACAGTAAGCGTGAATTGAAACCACGCTTTCGCTGTTCATTTATTTTTTATTTTATTTTTTTAACATTTTTTTTTTCTTGTTCTCATTGTTTTGGTAATAATGTAATTCATAAAATTTTTTTGGCTTTACTAAAGCCGCTCTCATGTTAAATGTTTTTTTTTTCTTTTGTCTTTGTTTTGGTTTAGAAGGTGTAATTCAAAAATTTTACATAATATGAGAAAAACCTCTTCTTTTCATATATTAATTTGTGTTACATAATATGAGAAAAGTCTATTCTTTATATATTAATTTTTCATAATATTTTTAACTAATTACCAAGCATTTGGGAATTGAGCCCATTTATATATCATTTAAATTTTTATGGGAAAAACCTCTTTTCATATATTAATTTTACATAATATTTTTCATATATATAATTTTAAAATCATGTTCATTTAGATATTATTAAGCCAATCATGTTCATTTACAAAATTCATGCTTTCACTGTTCACTACAGTAAGCATGGATTGAAACCACGCTTTCACTGTTCATTTAAATTATTTATTTTTTAATTTTTTTTCTGTTGTCATTATTTTGGTGATAATGTAATTCATAAATTTTTTTTGGCTTTACTAAAGCCGTTCTCATGTTAATTTTTTTTTTTATTTTGTCTTTGTTATGGTTTAGAAGGGTGTAATTTAGAAAAATTTTTTGTCTTTACTAAAGCCGTTTTCATGTAAATTTTTTTTGTTTATTATTCTGTCTTTGTTTTCGGTTAAAAGGTGATAATGTAATTAATAAATTTTTTTTTTGGCTTTACTAAAGCCGTTTTTATGTAAATTTTTTTTTCTTTTATCTTTGTTTTGGGTTAGAAGGTGTTATTCAGAAAATTATTTTGGCTTTACTAAAGCCATTTTCATTTAAATATATATATTTATTCTTTTGTCTTTGTTTTGGGTTAGAAGGTGAGAATGTAATTCAGAAAATCAGTTTAGTAAAACCGTTTTGTACCCGTTTTCATTAAAAAAAATAAAAAATTTCTTTCGTTTTTGTTTTGGGTTAGAAGGTGATATGCATGCTCTACAGTCCGAAGCACACCCACACACTGTGTAGTTCAACGAGCAACGACGAAGGGTGAGATACGAAGAGCCCCGTGGAGTAGGCCAAGAAGACGAAGGCCACTGCGAGAGCTCCTAAAATAAATTTTGTCAACATTTTTGTAATAAAACTTAATACATAATATACGAAGTCACTAATTTACTAAATACTCATACAGGCATGAAAACAACATAACTGAAGTTGCAAATGTAACAGTTTTCAGTTACATAGGTAGTACAGACATAAGTCTTCCACAAAAATACATTCTGGACATCATGAACTGAATACACATTACATACATCCTGGACACCCTGAACTGAACACACAATACATAAACATAACAGTTAGACAAACAAATATTAGGCAGACAATCTGACAAACTCATTACGAAAACACTTAGTCTAACACATATATTACATATTAATGCATGACCTAATATTGCCGAAGTGTAGATATTAACACCTAATTCGCGCTTAAATCGGCAGGTGGCTCAGAGTCTGAATAATCCGCAAGCTCAGTGTCAGAGACAAGTTTAGGATCCTCCATGATACCCTTGATAGCCGCAACATTTGGTTTTGTTTTGTTCTTCTAGGCATCCTTTTTAACTATGTATAGCTGCATATCGCGGGCTAACCTACGACGCATTTGAGAAATCTCACGTTGTAGTCTTTCACATAGTCAATCAACATTATCAGGATCTTCCTTTTGGATCTCAATAGAACGTGCTTTTGGCACCTTAAGTTGATTTTTTCGACTTAAGGCTTCCAACTGTACCCGCTCTATAAATAGTGTGGGCCACTTGAGACGAGCAGCGTCAGATAAACCATATCCTGTTTGATTGTCAGATGGCTCCATACATGAACCTCCTTGAACTGGATAATACTTGGGCATAAAAAAATGTCGCTTCCCAAACCTATTACGATAACCACAAGCATAATCTAAAACAGGTATTCCCACTCCACGTCCCTTTCCCCCTCCTCGTCGTGAACTGTCACCCCTTTACAAGTTCCTTCCACCTCTGCGATTCCCACTCCCTCCCATGAATCGTGTAGCCATGCTAATTTTTTAAAACAAATGAATGATAATTTCATAGGGCGAAATGAGTTATAAGGTTGTGTCTTCACCTATAGTCGTTTATATAGTTGGTTATGAACGGCTTTAGGAAGATGCCTCTGCATGACAATCCCGCATATACGAACAAGGTATGATTTGTCACTAGAATGAAAAAATAGAGAAAAACAAATACTGTGTACCAAGTCACGTGACTTGACAATCCATCTGCATATGCTGACAAAATAAGGGCATGCTCAATGTAAGGTAAATCAGTGAATTCACTATTGCCATGTGACTTTTTGAATTGAGAACCCACATAAATCAATAAGAGATGAGTTGTCACTATAATAAAAAAATCGAACAAAAAATCGAGAAAACCAAAGCCTGTGCACCAAGTTACATGACTTGACAATCCATCTGCATATACGGACAAAATAAGGGCCTGCTCACTGTAAGGTAAATCAGTGAATTCACTGTTGCCATGTGACTTTCTGAATTGAGAATCCCACATATATCAATAAGAGATGAGTTGTCACTGTAATAAAAAAAATCGAGCAAAAAATCGAGAAAACCAAAGCCTGTGCACCAAGTCACATGACTTCACAATCCACTTGCATATACTGACAAGTCTCTCCACGATTTGACTACTCAATGTGTGAAAAAATGAAGCTTATGTAGGCAATGTTGTGTTTCACTTAGCTATGCATCATTCGTTGTTACAACCTACTATTTGTATTTCATTGAAAAGTATGACTATTTGAATTTTTGTTGTCATTTGGAATTATTTTAAAATCAACTTTTGAATATTCAATTTGTAATATTTTGGGAAACATTTACAATCTCAACTTTTGAAATCAACTTTAAAATAATGGTGGATCTTGTGAGTGAAACGTGGGTTAGGTAGGAGTACTTGGCCACCAATGTTTGTGAATATCATGGTGCATTCAAATCTGTCCAGAAAACTGGTGCATTCAAATCTGTCCAGAAAACTGGTGTTACACAATAATTTCGGAAGTGTTGTTCTCTTTGAGTATAAATCCGAAAAATAACAAATCAACGTCATTAGAACTGGTTATAAGTCTAGTTTCTTACATTTTTTGCCTTGCGTTGATTGCTATTCTATACTAAGAGAATCGTCAATTTCTTTAAAGATGTGCAGAAAATAATCTGTTTGGGTATAATTAATTGTAAATAGTGATTTTCACAAGCAAATCAAATAAAACCAATTGGGTTTTAAACTTAGTCCCCAACTGGATCAACCACTTGGCTTTGAACTTGTTTGTCCAGCCCCCGAAGTTTAGTTTTCTGTCAACCCCCCATTCCTTACCAGAGTCATCATTTTTACTGGACTTCCAGGAATTGGAAGGTGACTCTTTCTTCTTTCCTGATGGAGATTGAAATTCTTTACGTAGAGGATCCCTATTTGACGAGCCCCAGTTAAGGGAAGCTTTTCACTGAGCTACCTGTTCTGTTTTATGTGTTATTGAAGGTGGTAGTTCGTTTCACCGAGTTTAGTTCTCTGTTAACCCCTCATTCCTTACCAGAGTCATCATTTTTACTAGACTTCCAGGAATTGGAAGGTGACTCTTTCTTCTTTCCTGATGGAGATTGAAATTCTTTACGTAGAGGATCCCTATTTGACGAACCCCAGTTAAGGGAAGCTTT